TCTCTCTCTCTCTCTCTCTCTCTCTCTCATGATGGGGGAACATAACAACCTTTAAAGAAAAAAAAATAAAACTAACAAACACAGATAAAGGCCTTTCAAATGATGGCAAATGATTAAAATTAAGATTTTTCTAAGGATCGAGTTCTACCAGTGAGTACTTCAGCTGCTGCCTAAAGACCGGCAGTGATCATGTTCTGACATTACATTAGCCAGAAGGGAACATTGATTTGTTGCATAGCAGCTGACCTTTAATCTTCTTATGAGCATATTTGGATTAAAGCCTTGATTACTACAGTTTTTTTCTGCCTAATGTGCTGAGCAATCAGTCATAGTGGAGGTGCTGTGTGAGATTTACCAAATAACCACGTGGAACCTTTGATGATTTTACTGCAGCTGCTGGTGATGAAGTGGAAATACATCAAAGAGGAATTAAAGGATAAAATCTATTCTTCTGTTCATGTGACCTAAAAACTCATGTGATGATGGATTAAAACAAAGAGGAAAGATAAATACAAGTGATTATTMTCCCTCCGCAGGAACTTGAAATTCATTTCAGTTCAGAGTCTTTCTAAGATAATCACTGGGAGCCAAAGGATTGATCAGTCAGTTAAATATACATGCCTCTGAGTGAAAAACTACACAAAATCAATCACAGGTAACTACGTGGTCAARGTTTCAAAAGGATATATTCAGTATTGTACAAAAGCATAAAAATGTAGAAAAACTTCATAAAACAAAAAAAATCCACATATAGTGTGTTCTCATTGTTGATCAAACTAAATTAGATTAATAKGTTTAGCAAGCAAATTTTATTAAAATACAAATAACCTTCCTGTAATTTCTTGCCATTTTAACCGTTGTTTTGTTCGTACGTGTGCTTTTGGAGGCCCCAGGGGTTAATTTTTATCTATTTTTGTTGTTTTATTGAGCTGCCTGGTGGCTCTGTCCCTTTAAGGTAGCTGTGGATTCATGAATGAAACGTAGCCATTCATAAAAAACACAAGGAACGCACGTCAGAGAGCTCTTGAACCCGATTGGCTCGTTCTTTGAAAGACCGCTCCTTCCAGCCAATGGGAGGGCAGTGCAGTGCTGGGTTTATCGGAGAGCCCTTCATTGAGAAAAATCCACAGCCAAGCCGAGTGTTTATTCGAGAAGCTGCAGGCGATGTAGGGAAAATAAATCTGCGTCCGTTCGTTTTGTTCGAGTTCTCCAAACCAGACTTTACAAACCAGGTAAGACTCGCGTTGTTACGCCAGCAGGAGCTAGCTGTACTGGCTTGTTTAGCTAATGTTAACATTTAGCGGACGACAGCGTCGCGGTTTGTTGCTGGCCGTGAAGGGGGGGCAGATTACGGGTTAAAGAGGCGAACGCCATTTTCTAGAATCAAAGGCAGTTCGCGTCCATTTCCCATGCTTATTTGTCCGCTCTGCGGGCGGTTTGCTGTTTGCAGCTGCTGCGTTTTTTAACACTAATTGTTAGCACGGGGACATTTTTTTCCGTTGGCTTTGGTTAATTTCTCGATGGTGTGAGCTACTGTGCCCCCCTCCCCCTTCTCCTCCTCCTCCTCCTCTGAGGATCAAGTTTCACTTCATTGAGAAAAACAAGGTCGTCCCACAGCGAGCAGCGCAATTATTTTCTGTGCGTCACACCAAACTCCATTACATTTTCCCCCAATTTAAGCTTATACACAATAAATATAGCATAAACCTAATTTTAAACAACACATTTTTCTGTGGTAATAATAAAACTAGATTCCATTAAGGCAGTGGTTGTCAAAGTTGGGGTCATGACACGAAGTAGGGTGATTTTAAGACTCTAAAAACGATTGCTTAGTATTTTTAGCCGTAATGGCCTTTATGGTTCTTGAAATATCGCGAGATCATGGTCTATATTAGGAGTTTGGAGTGTGTGTGTGCTGGGGATAATCTCAGCTACTACAACACTTACATTGAGCTCACTAATCTGTAAAATTGACCGAGTTAGAGCATTTTGTTTGTGCATCTTAAAGCTGTTTAACCGTGGCAGCCATTTTGAATCCGGTTGAGGTTAAGCATTAATTAGTTGTAGATTTACGTCCAGTGATTACATCATTAATCCATTCTCTGATTGATGGTATTTTCCTAACTGATAGGTACACCGAGGCATTTACATTATCAACCACATTTTGCCTTTTGGTTGTTGTAAATAATTGTACATCATTTTTTTGTAAATTTGTATATTTCAGCAATATGGTCATGTGTCTGAGAAAAGTCATGAACTATTGAAGAACCACAACGCTAAAGGACTTTTATACGCATTTTATGTAATTATAACGTTTATTTCAATCACAGAGAGATTTTATATTTATGCAATCAATATACAAATATGCTATATGAATCACCTGAAATAGCTTACATTTAATTCTGTATGAGCCTTAGTTGACCTTTTTTGTTGCTGTTGTTGTTTTAGTAAGATTTGATACTTTAAATCTATTGAAGAACCACAACGCTAAAGGACTTTTATACGCATTTTATGTAATTATAACGTTTATTTCAATCACAGAGAGATTTTATATTTATGCAAT